GGCATTCTAATGAGGGCCGTCGTAAAAACGATTCGGTAGCGTCATGGATAAAATGAGCTTCGGATTGCGGGTATCATCATACACTTGCAGGGATATTTCATGTGGGAACTTCAATATCAGCGCACCAAAAATACTTTACTAATTATAGGCGTTTTACACCTAAGATTCACCCTGTATACCGAGGAGTAGCAGTGCGAAATGTGAAAATGTTCTTCAGAATAGTACTGTATTAACAGGTAGTTCAGGTGGGGAGCTCACACCTGAAGAAGGCTCCACGGCCGAAACGTTGTGTTTTCTTTCTTCTTTATTTCAGCATGGAATAAACCTATTAATTGTTCCTGTATTAACAAGGTTTGGCTCGAATATCATAAGACCATTATTTAATGAGCAACCTAACTCTTTTTCTTTACTTACCTAGAAATAAGCCTATGAATTAACAAGATTTTTTTGCCTTTTTAGTTTTTAAGACTGAAAGGCGGGTATTTAAAGCTAGGATGAGTTGTGAAATTACGTCTCATTTGAATTTTCAATACTGTACGCAGTACTCTTATTAGCAATAGCGAGAGCATTTTATTCTCTTTTCTTTTTGCTCTAAAAACTCTTAAAGAAAAACATGAATATTTCAAATTCACTTGAATTTTAAATGCGGGGTCAGTGTCTTCCTTAGCTGTTTGAGGAGGAAAAACATCCAAGTAGTACATCAAGAAATGTGGGCCCACAGTAGATAATAAACATCATCCCTATACCCGTCTGTAAGGCAAGCCGGAGTACTACAGAAGCTCGCTCTGTCAGAGCTGCAGGCTTTTCAACGGTTTGTGAAGTTTTACCTCTGCAGTTTTCTGTCTTTTGCATCTGTGGTTTTATCTCCGTCATGCTTGGCTTTTGGCAAGATCTGCATCTTGATTTAAGCTGAAGCACCCATTGACAGATTCAGTTGTTTTAAAGCAGTTTTCTTTCACATCTGTCTACATGAAGGTGCCTTAATTTGTACTTTTATATTTTGTTGAGTTACCTTTGATTTAGACAGGCTTAAGCTGGTTTCTGTCGAAGTTGCCACTTTTTTTCATCCACACACTTAGCAAACAAATCTATTACAGTGGGAAACAGCTGTTTTGTTAAAACCTTACTGGCTTCTAGAAGCACTGCATTTTCATAACAGCTTAATCTTTTGATAAATAACATTTTTAGGTTCAACTAAACAGGCCACTTGGTCAGGTTCCCCTTGCTTTGTTCTAAATAATGCAAACAAGATGAATATTAATCGCTCAAAATCTCGTTAACAGGCCACCCACTGGTCACCACCAGGTGGCCCCCACCTCAGAAACCAGCTTCTTGGCATCTCCCAGTATAATCCACAAAGTTTACAGCTAGAAATGTGGTTTGCAAGTCGCCACTAATAAAGTACATGGATGTGCTGTGATGTCGGAGAGGTAAACCGATGTATTAACGTACAAGATACTAGACCTCTCCTCAGTTGCCTGAGTCAAAAGAGCAGGAGCACAGCACTTCCTTTTTTGGAGTTTCGACTGGATAACTTGTGATTCAAGCTCCCCGTCTCGTCCCTGCTGCGGTGACTGCTGTGTGGTTGGGCTCCGATGCCAGCTCCCACTCTTTCCATGTCTGCTCGCACAGGGAGTCGCTCACTGCCGAGTCATGTTGCTCGGCGTTCTGCGAGCCTTCGTTTATGTTCGGAAGAAGCTTGATTCTAGTGCCCCACGTTGCAACGAGAGCCAGCGGCGTTTCCAATCACTGCGGGTTGGAAATCCAAAACTGAATCCTTCCAGATGGTCCCCTTATCTCTGAAATGGGCTTGTTGCTGCTTTCTGCACAACTGCTTCGTGTTGTTTCCACTTCCATGCAGAGAGCACTGTTAATCCCTCTAGCTGCAGAGCTCTCCAGAAAGAAAGCTGGAAAGATTTACAAGCTTGGGTTTTTTTTCCCCTTTAATTTCCAATGTTTGTCTGCAGCCTGGAGGAGCTCATTATTAAGGATAGCATGTGTCTCTGTTTCATCATAGAAGGGTATTTCTGTTGTTACCTACCAGAAATCGGGGGAAAAATCCAAATCTTATGCAAGTGCTTTTGTTCATACGGTGTCTTAAAATCTCCTTGAATAGCTCTTAAGTTGTCAGTGTGAAAAGTTCAAACACCTATAATCCTTTGATAAACTAGTTCTACCTTTGTGCACCTCATGAATAGCCAGTTTAATGATCTTGTGCTTGAAAGACTGTCATTGCTGAAAGATGTATTATTAACACACAGGCTGTGTAGTAATGTAGGCCTTATTTATTTTATAAGGGGCTGTTAAGGTTACAGTTGAAAGTGAAGTGCATTGACTCATAGCATATTGACTCATATGCTGTGACTGTAGCTTTACTTTCCTCATGGGAGAAACAGACTCCAAAAGTAGTGAAAAGTTTGTTTTTGTAAGAACACTCATTCTGAGAGAGTTACTTATTTCTGTATACACAGTATATGCAAAACGTTAAAATGTTAATTAACCTTAAGGTGTTTGAATAATTTGAACATTTACTTTAATAATTTTTGAAACAAGGATTGTGAAATTTAGTTTTAAAGATGAAGTTGCCTGTTCCTTTAGACATTGGGTGGAACACGTGTGGGAATTTCTAACCTTAACCCTTGGATATAGAGCGCTGTATTCATGTAACCCTCTAAGTGCAGTAACAATAATTTGCTGTGTATACATGGATTATAAGTTGACTTCTATTGCATTTGCTTATCATTTGCACTCCGATTATAAACTGCTGTGTACATTTTGAACCATTTTGGAACTCAAAAGTGATCATGGTGTTCTCACTCAGTAAAGTAAGAGTCCCACATGTCAAGCAAGATTAGGGTTGATTTCACTCCAGTTATTAAGTAACACTTGTCGGAGTGCTGAGGTGAAACTGTGTAAAAAACAATGTAGCATCAGGTTAAGAGCAGAAGTGTGAACTGTTAAACGGCAGCCCTTCGGAGGCCAGGTGGAGTCCTCTCTTGTCGCGGACGGGTGAGCCCCTCCGTTCACCGTTTCCCCTGCCCTGCCCTGCCCTGCAGCTCTGTTGATACACCAGAAGGCCCGGAGGGAGCGGCTGTGGCACGAGCTGGAGCTGAAGAAGAAGCAGCTGGAGACGCTAAAAGCGGAGGTCAACGAGATGGAGAACGACCTCACCCGGCGGCGCCTGCAGAGATCCAACTCCGTCTGTCAGGTCCCCTCGGTAAGTCCCAGGCGCCGGAGGCCCGGGATTGGGCACGCCGCACGCGTGGCGGGAGAGATCTGCGCCGTCGGGAGACCGCGGAAGTGTAGCGCTCGGCGTCGTTTCATGAGGAACGTTCAGATGTTGGGTGGGAAGACGCTCGCAAAAGATTTTTCTGCTGCATCACCGCGGTCCGCCAGCCTCTGAAACAGCATGTACGCAGATGGCCTCGGTCTGCTGTGTTCTTCTGTCTGGAGTCGTCTTTCCAGCAGCTCAAGTGCGAAGCCTCAGTATGTGTTTCTGTTCATGGGTGCCGCAGCATTTCGTACTTGGGCAATACTTGCCAGTGGTTAAAGGCGGGAGACGAGCTGTGAAAATCTGGATTTTCATGAACACAAGGTGTGTGTTCAGTACACTCCAGCCATGTGCTGTGTGGAGAAAAAAACACGCATCTAAAGGTTTTAAAAAGAATTTAATGATGTAAGAACATTTACAAATAAGTGGGTGGGGGGGGGGGGATTTGGCCCATCTAGAACATTTTTTATAGCAACGAATGGATCCGAGGATCTCTTTGGGACATTTCTAAAAGACGCAGGGCACCAGCTTAATAACATGGCTGGCTTGCTTTTTCCATATTTTGCGGACCATAATTATACTCAGTATTCTAAAGGAGATATTGGACATTTTTTGTGCATTTGTAACATGACATTCTTGATTTAAAAATTGTGCACTTTAACAATGTAAATGTCTCCACCCATTTTTTGCCCTTTTAATGCTTCCCCGCACGAGGAAGGGGTTGGGTTATTTGCTTGCGTAGCCTCTTCAGCCTTGGCGTTTTCCATCTTATTTACCCAAAGCCCTGCACTTCCTACACGACGTCTGCCCAGATTTCTCCAGGCCTTAGTTTTGCTGCACCACGTAGTTTGGTTATTGTTTGTGAACTTGACTAGTTAGATCTAATCCAATGTGGATCATGGATATAAATCATATAGAGTCATGATCCCAATACAGACTCCAGTACTTATATCACCTCAATTTGAGCATTTATCCCTAAAAAATGCTGTTTTTGAAGTATGAAAAATGTAAAAGATGGAATGGTGTTTTGTTATGCAATGGGGTTAACTTTGTTTTTTTTGTCTTTTAAGCTTGAGGAAATGCAGCAGTTAAGATGCAGGAACAGGGTGCTGCAAATTGATATAGACTGCTTAACCAAAGAAATTGATCTCCTTCAAACAAGAGGTTAGTTTTTTTTTAAACTTCTATGAAATAACGGTATTTGCTCTCTTTTCCTCAGTTCTTTGTGTAACGATGAGTTAAATGGAAATTAATGTTCGGCTATTAGTAAGATCCTCAACAAGCATGTTTAGTTGGAAACAGAAGTACGTTTTAAACATTTATGATTTCGAATAGTGAGTGTTTGAAATGAGAGTTCTGTGTATTGTAGGTACTTCTATTGTAATGTTAACTAGCAGTTGCTTCCTGAATTGTATCCTGTTGGTTGGTAGCAAGGGATTTATGGTCCTGTTGGCAGCACTTCACATGCGCACACTTCATTGTGTGTCCTGGCCAAGTGGCCCACAGGAATACCCAACAGTGGCGCACACGACACTTGACGTGCGTTAAGAGCAATAGTAGGAATCATTTCTGTTCATTCTGGGCGCTGGAAGAAGTGTGAAATTCTCGTTTTAGTGTCTGTGAAGTTATCGCTTTGCCTTTCTGTTTGATCAGATTTTACTAGATTTTTTTTTACTGCATTGTGCCTGTTCAAGCATGTCCCTCTGTATATCTTTCTGTTCCATCATTATTTTTAAACACTGGTTTCACACATCCTAGTTAGCGCTAATCCTGCACGTTTTACTAATTTTAATCTCAGATGATTGATGCTAATGCCACATTTATCTGTAATCTGTATGTTTTTTTAAAAAAAATATAGAGGACTTAAGTTCTAGTGGTGTGAAGAAAACGATTTGAAACCTGTTTTACATTGTTACAGGACCACACTTCAATCCAAGTGCTATTCATAACTTTTATGACAACATTGGATTCCTAGGTCCAGTTCCACCCAAACCCAAAGGTACTTCAAATGTTGGTAAGTTGAACTCTTGGATGTTTTTCTTAAATTTCTTAAATTATATTTATAATCTGTATCCTCTTCTGCACAGGATGATGATGTGAACTTTTTCCAAAGGTATATGATTATTATGATTATGAGAAAATACATGTTGAAAAAATTTGGAGCCAGTTTCTTACCTGTCTCGAAGTTTCTGAAAGTATTTCACAGCATTTATCTTGTTCAGTGATGGGTGTTATAAAAAATGGAAAATAAGATTGTGTGAATATCCATATCTAAAAGTAGTAATATTGCTGAGAATCAAGAAAACCTTTTCTTAGCATACCTGTAGGTTTTAATTTTCTTCATCTTTATACAAATTTGTATATATCTAAAGATAAAATTGTATAGCTTTATACTTGGTCTCTCATGCTCCATCACTTGGGTAAGGCATGTTTACAGAATTGACATCAGTGACAATATAAGGACATGCTATAGAGAAGCCTGGTGTCAATGTTTTTAATCACTGTCAAATGGCATAAAAAACCCTGGCACTTCTTAAATTAACTTGGTTACTCAAATCAGTACTTTTTTGTGCCCTGTATTTTATTGAATTACTTTGTTTACATCTGTGCACGCTGACTCACTTCTTGAGCTTTAAAACTTGCCTCCAGCACCGAGCTTTAGTCTTGCAGCCTAGGAACTAATGGTCACCTGAGTAAATATTTTTGGTTTCCTGGCATATTCTTTTGAAATACATCAACCTTTAAGACTAATAAAGGTAAATGTGTATACGTATTCCAAATTATATCTTTGGGTCATGGGCTTTACTTCATTTTCCAGCGTGTGTGTATTTCAGAAACATGGGTAAAATAAATTAGACCACGTTTTGTAATCGTAAATGTGAATTATTCACATTCCAGGTGATTGTTTTTGTGGTTAGGATCCACTGCCATTTTGGGTGAATTTAATTCATCCTCAGTCCCTGAACATGGCATTCATGTCATGCATTGCAGTAAGAGCGAAACTGAGTCAGGATCGAGTCCTAAAAGAGCCCGGCAGTGGACACTGGGAATGATCTAAAAGGACACTGCGATACTGAAACAAGATTTCGTTTTGAGAAACGTCTTATAATGATACAGCCTTTGCTTCCCATACCAGTTGTTTGAATGCTTATTGTATTGTTACCACACCACATTGGAGTCTTTGCAGCTGTAGCCCAGAAGACCCTGGGAGGGTGGGAAGCTCAGTCGTCTCAGCATCTCGTTCTTTTTTCTCTCAGCCAATTTATCGCCACATATGGTAACCACAGTAGGTAGAGACATTTGTGGTTCTTCAGCCTGAAGGATCTTGTATTGCAGCAGACAATCAAACGAAAGCACCACACTGTCCCCCTTTGTCGGCAGGAGTAGAGAAATGCATGACTGATTCAAAAAAGCCTATTCCAGATAGAAGAAAACTATCGGTTTTATGTATGAACTTGTGTATTAATATTAATATTAATATTATTAATATAAGCACTGTCCAGTGTACGAGCATCCTAGCAAGTATGTAATATCCAGAACTTGATCAGATCGACTGGAGAAAATGATGGAAGCTCTCCGTTGACATTTTAAACGTTGAGTCTTGCTTTAAGAGGAAAAAAAGCGAAACACCCTCTCGACAATAGCTGTCTGAACTTAAAACTCTTTGCGTGTGGGTTAAATTGAAAAAGCCTTTCATAACCAGACTTTGGCAGGCAGCTGTTTCCTGGATTGGGCTGAAGGCTAGAAGCGGACGCTTTGACAAACATGTCACGAAGTGCCCCCGGGTGACCCCGCCTTGTGCTGCTTCTGTGCCCTCTCCCTCCCCAGACCCGCGCTCCCTGGCCAAGACCCCGAAGGCGGTCGCCGACGCGGAGGAGGACGAGGGCGCTCAGTGGAACTGCACCGCCTGCACCTTCCTCAACCACCCGGCCCTCCTCCGCTGCGAGCAGTGCGAGTTCCCCAGGCGCTTCTGAGCCGCCCGGGGCCGGCGCCTTGGCAGACCGACGCGCAGAGACACGGAGAGGAGGGGGCTTCTCCGGCGAGAGGAGGACAAGGACAGGGTTATTTTTCTCTTAATCGTTAATGCCTTTTGAGTAGAATGCTGTCCACCGAAGGCTTGACTGGATAGTGTTTACAGGTTACGTACTTAAAAGCCAACATAGCTGATGATACCTCACCTTTGGGTCGCCGGCACTTGGGGAAACCTGTCCGTTGTTTTTTTTTTTAAAAAAAAAAGGTAAATTTCCTAAAGTTTTCGCGAGGGGCCTCTTTCTTCCGTGCGCAGTATTATCAGTGCCCCCCTTCCGTGTAGGGGTCAACCCGGTGGGGTGCCAGAGAGCACTTTGCCTCTCCCGCCTGCCACGCTGGGGACGTTTCTCGGTGGCTCGGCGAGGAAGTATGCGCTGTCGCCACACCTGCAGGGGGGAGAACTACTTTGGACCATGTGATCGGTTGCCGTTTTCAAGGATACTGGGAAGAAACATGCAGTGTTACTGGCTCCGTTACTTGCCCTGTGTCCCCTTCCTTGATTGCCTTTCCACTCTGCATCTGTACAAGCCACAGTGAAACACAGTGGAAGTGAAACTGCATGCTTTGTTTGTACAGTACACAGTAATAAAAATACCCCCCCCTTAGTTTCTCTTACTGTACATAGTTTTAGAATCTGCTTTAAATGACTTTCTTCACGCTGATTTCCTTGTCTTTCCTGTAAGTATAACGTAATAGACTTGATTAACTTTTTTTCTTTAAAGCAAATAAGCACGTTGCCCCTTTAAGCTTTTTACTTGGTATCTGTGAGAAGTGAAGCCTTAAATAAAAGAGCAATAATATGAAACTATGCACAGTTTAGCTTTCTCTGCTCAGTCTGTTCATTGCTCCTGTAAATGTTGATGTTCCACGGATGATCTGCAGATGCAGCTAAGATGTCATATGGAGATCGAGGGTTTTGTGGGCTTTGGAGATTTCATTCATGTCGGACCGAATCTCTTGGATGAAAACAGCCACATTATCTAACAGCTGGAATGTAGTTGTATATGTCTGGGGGGTTTAAAAATGAGACTCGAGAGTTTTAACGCAAACGTCAAACCTTGTATAAAAGTGCCTATTCAGGCAAGGCTAAAAGGATATGCAAGATGGGAATGAGGGATGGGGATTTCAAGGCAGTTGACATGTCTTACCCAAAAGCTACCTTGCTAAGGACTTCCAACAACTGACTGGATCAATGCAGTGAGAATTACAAGTTCTTATTTGCAAACTTTCATTTAAAAAAATCCCCCTTTTAAATTTCCAGATATTCTTAACCTCATTTCTATCGGTAAAGTTGCCTTAAGCAGCAGTGATGACAATCACCATTTTCCAAATCCAGTTTAAAATCCTTCAGATAATGTCCTCTTATGTTTTGACGACTTGCGTTGACATGACCTTTATCTTTGGATTTTTTTTAAAGATTTGTAAAGTTTGTCCTGCAGTGTGCGGTATTGTGGCACACGTTTCTGTTAGAATGGTTGTTTTATAAATTATGCAAAAACAGTGAAGTCTACGCTAAAAGCTTAATGTGTAAATCATGGAGATAATTTTGGTAGGAAAAGGCTGAAGTTAATCTCTGAAGCACTTACATCAGACTTTCGTTTAAAAACAGCAACCCAATTTTCAGCTTCATCTGCAGTTCTGTGTGAAGATTGAGTCTGTTAATGTTTTATTAATAAAAACCTAATTTGGATATCTAAAGTTGTTTTTTGATTTTAGCTGGGAAAACTGTCTTTGTAACAGATAAGTTATTTGTAAAAATTAAAAAAAATCTATTCTGAAATTTTGCCTCGTGCTTTTTTTCCTTGGTAGGGTCTCGGTCATTGTGCTGTTTTTACAGAGGGGTCGTTGGCAGCGTTCATAGAGCACTTCCTCCTGAGAAGAGGACAATCTGTCCAGTTCATAGCTTTTCACAGCAGAGGGCACTAAAGGCACATCTTGGGAAGAGATTCTCGAGAAGCATAATTAGAGTTTTGCGAATTTGGTCCTTGGACATGAAAGGGAGGTTTGAAAAGTATTTAAACGTCATCCTATTTATCTCGCAACACCTTTTAATAGAGAAGTGCACCCTCCCTTTCATTTCCAAAGACCGAATTGGCAGAATCCCAATTATGCTGCTGCTTCATTTTCGTTGTTATTTTTTTTTTTGGTAAGTCTTGTCAAACTTCAGCCTTGTAGATTACTCCAGTTTGCATCACAAGGTGCTAAAGGGCCAGATGAATGTAATGTGTGCTTGACTAAAGAAATCCCAGTGGCAGATTCAAATTCCTATACGAAGATCATCAGAAAAACCTGTTTCAGGTCTTTTGTATGTAAGCGGACTCGAACTGAAACAGATGAAGGTACTAAAAGAAGTCCTTCCTCACTCGTCCTTTTCCACTCGTTCTGTTGCCACAAGAGTTGCATGTGTGTCTGAAGTTGTGTGCTGTGGTGCGTTACTCATTACCGCAGGGGTCCCCCCACTCGTGTTCCTGGTGACCCACAGATCTGTCGGGCTTTGTTCCAGCCGAGTTGTCATTCAGACAACTCGTCGAGTTCGTCATTGACTTGGTCACGTAGTTTAAATCAATCGTGTTAGCGGTTTTCAGATTTTGAGAAGCAGGTAGCCTTTTAAACTATTGTTTTTTCTAATTAAAATCAAATCCCAAACTCTTGAGTTGAGACAAGGTCTTGCGAAATGTTGCAATCAAGCAGCTTATTAATTCACTTAAGGCTTCAATTGGGTAATTAAGGTCAGCTGGAATGAACGCCTGCAGGACAGAGCACGGGAACCCTTGGATTACTGCTTTAGGAGGGATATAATCTTGAGTCCCACAGTTGGAACTGTAGGTTGATGCTCCAAGTTGTTCTAATGTGCCTACGTATAAGAAATTGCCAATTCGTTTTTTGTTGGCTGTTCCAGTATTGAGCTCCATAATGGAGAAACTGCATCCCTGGCTGGTAGTGTGTATTTATTATTGGAAACATAGCACTTTGGGTTCAGATACACTGCACAGCTACTGTACATGCAGATGGGATGTGGGATGAAACCAGAATCAAAAAGTAATAAGAGCTTGGGTGCAGGACGAAGTGAAGCTCAGGTTTTTATATATGAAAAATATCATCTGAGGTGCTACATGATGCACTGTAGTCTAAAAACCCTAGAATCAGATGAGCAGGGACTGAAGACTTCAGGCAGACTCTGAATCCAGTCAAGCAGAGTAATTCTGTTGTCCAGACTCCTATGATGCCATCGTCTGCGATGATACCGATTTGTAAAGCTACTGTATGCACGTTTAATGAAGAAACGTCCAGCACTAGAACAGACCACAAAGCCTGTCCGTGCTGCCTCAAAGTGTATCTGATGCAACACCAAAAGGAGCAGACTGAATTTAACATTGTAAAGACAAAAAAACAGTTTGATTATATACGCTTTAATAAGGCACATAAGTATCTTTGGATCTATGCCTTTCACATTTGGAAACCTCATACGACAATGGCCTCTACTGATTTCTTCATTTAGAAGAGCAGGAATGAGGAGATATTAAACATTCTGTTAAAGGCAATTCTATAGCTGTCCCTTATTATGTAACTTTATATATAAAGTGCGCTTGTTTAATAATGCATAAAAACATTAATTACATCAACCATTACACATGCATTTAGTACAATTCACCCAAATACTTTTAATTGCTACATTCACTTATGTAATCAAGTATTGTACCTCGATCTATAAACATAAAATGTTTAAACGTATTTATAAATGAAACCACCATACCCCCCCTTCATTATGAAGTCCTGTTATACATTGTGAACAGACATTAACAGGGTTTGGATCCAAGCTGAAGCAAGATGTATCAATCATGCGTAGATGCATAGAATTCGGCAGAAAACCTTTTATTTTTCAATTTTCTGAACATTACTCCTGATTAGCTTTTCACAGCAGAAATTTCTGTATGTTGCTCTGATTAGAACGTGTTAATTCCAGTAATATCAAGTCAGTAAAAAAGGAAAGACTTCTGAATGTATCTTTTCCTTTAAATGAGAGAAGTTATAAAAAGCAGCTTTGACAGTTTTGTTCACACTTGCTGTCCAAGCATGTTTCTCAGTTACTCAGTATTAAGCACCTCACTGTGAGGTTACAGGGTAAAAACAACATCTGTTGCTTTAGGTTTTACAATCCAATCACCTAATGCTGAATTTAAATGAATGAATTTAAATTTAAATGTTGGTGTTCTCGTAGCCTATAGAAAGAGATTGTGTCTCTTTCAGGATCACTTATATCAAACAGCCTGCATATGAGATCTTCTCTTCAGCACTTAGTTACAAGGTACACTTTAATGTGTAATAATGTAATATGATTCTCGGAGGAAGTGTGCTTTGCACTTAGAAACTTAGTGGTTACAGTTTGCCTAATAATAAAAATAATACAACAGGACGCAAACTGGTTTAACACGCTCCTCCTTCCATTACCACTATAATACGCGGCACCTAGAAGCAATAGTGGCTGCTTCGAAATTTATGGATGATTGAAATGAGACTGGATGTGTCCAAGACGTTCGGGTGCAAACACATCACCTGGTCCACCGCGGCCTGAGGGAAGAGGGCGCACAGCTGTTTCCTCACAGTCCTCTTCTGCTCACTCAGCAGCGGCTCAGAGACCTGGCCGCCCACCAGCAGCCCGAACTGACCCCCCCCCCAGCTGAAGCTCGGGAGAGCAGAGCACTTGGGTGGCACGCCGGGGTAGTGGTACTGCTCCAGCTCTTGTTCCTGGTAAGGAGTGGGGTCGCCGTGAGGCAGTACGACCTCGCAAGGCTTGGGTCCACGTGGGATTTCGGTCCTGGCACCTCGACCGGGGCTAACATAGAAGCCGGGGCTCTGAGCGGAGCCACCTGACGCCTGCGAGGGGCCGGGCGCCCTGCTCTGCGGCGCGTTTCCGTGCCAGAAACAGCAGCTGGGGCGCGAGCTGCCGAGGCCGGCCCTGCAGGCGCGAGCGCAGTTCATGCTGTGGTTGTGGCTGTGGGAAGGTAAGGGCCTGCCCGGACTGCTGCTCCGAGGGGGAGGGCTCCCGCTCCAGCACGGCCTCCCCTGAACATACATGTTCGAGATCCTGGCCTCCAGAGAATCGAGCCCTCCGGCGCTCGCGGGGCGCGGGAAAGTTGGGGGATCCCATGGGGAGGAGGGGCTGTGCCTGGGACTGGAGCTTTCTAACTGGCGGCTGGGTGACAGCCCACTGCGAGCACTGTCCTGCCTCGGGGCCACCGCGGGCTGAAGGCCATCGCACACGGCCGTCTGGGGACTCTGTTCGTAAAACGCTGGTGGGTTTGGGGCAACGGGCAGAGCCCCCCGACTCGAGGACGTCGCCGCGTTGTTCGGAAGCTGCCTTGCGTCCGGGAAAGCTTTGGGAGACGTGGATCTAGTCTTTGCACGAAGTTCGTCTGCGACTGACAAGTGAGACTGGTTCGACCTCTCTGGGTGATAGAACTTACACTTGATCCCATACGTGCACTTCTTTCCTGAAAGACAGATACACAGGCGGTTCAGGTCGGAGCAACAATGCGGAAAAGCAGAAAAGCTTAGCCAGGTGGACTTGGGTGGAGTTTCTTGTGAAGGTTCAGTAGGGACGACAACAGCCAAGTTCAGTCAGACTCTGCTGTCAGTAATTCATAATCACTCCTGATGTCATTTCCTCACCTAAAACAGCAGGCATACTCGACCCTCTTCTCTTGACCTTTCTCTTCCTGCCTCCTCCCCCTCTGCAGCTGCCCCTGGGTCAGCCCTCACACTACATGGAGTCCCAGCCTCCTCGTCCTCTGGCCAGGAGGTCAGCCCTCGGCCAAGCGGGTTAAGATGAATTTTATTGACTGAACGTATTGTGTCGTGTACGGCCGACATTGCAGGTTGTGCACGCCGGCTTACCAGCGCGGTGACGTTCCCTGTGAAGAGCAGGGTCCGCAGCTGCTGGGTTGAGGGGAGATTTCCCTTTAGCTCAACTGGCTGGGCCCCTGTTGAGTGACGCCGGAGGCCTGGGTTCGAGTCCCCAGCGGTGGGGGGCCGACCTGAGGCGGCAGTGGCGAGGACGCATACCCATGTGAACCCAGAGCGCTACAATACTTCTCGAGTATTGTTAATCCAAGTGAAAAGTAAATCTTAAGGATGTTGAGTCAGGAGTAATGTTTTTTTTTAGCCATAGACTAAACATCTGTAAACAAGAGGTCGTGTTAACATATGTTCGTCCCAGACACCCTCTGTCCAACTCCGGATTGATGTAACTTCAGTGAACGAGGGAAGGAGGAGAAACGCCGCCCACAGAGATTCTTACCGTAGGGGCAGTGCTGCCATCTGTGCTCAGGCACTTGAGGTGTTTTTCTAAGGAAGTTTTCGATTGTTGGTCCATTTCTTCCCAGGGGATCATCTGGTGGCATAAACCTGCAGCAGACGGACATCGTGCAGAGATGTGAGCACTCAGCTTAGCTCGCCTTCTTCCATCTTTCATTTTCATTTTGAATCTCTGTGTGCCAGCGACTGTTTGAAATGGTTCTAAATAGTCGCAAGAGCCTCTGAGGGCCTTTCCTGGGCTTGGCCCTGCTTATCCCATATATTCCCGAATCGTAACATAACCTCGGAATAATCAGAATATGTCGGGGGGGGGTCTAAGTCCTCATGGCAGCACGCAGGGATGTTGAAACTCTGGATGGTATCCATGCGTCTGTTTTTATGTGCCATATTTAAAATTAAGCTACCACTTTAATTTTGGACAGTGGGAGGAAACTGGAAACCCCCATGAACATGGGAAGAACGTACAAACTCAACACAGGAATTGAACCCAGGGCTGCGAGGTAGAAGTGCTCACCACTGCACCACCGCGCCGCCGAATTCGTGTGACCACGTGTGCTTTTGTGTGGCATACGGTATTGTGTTTCTGAGCATTGTCTCAGTCCTTAATTTGGGACGTGACTGTTGTAGGGCACGCAAGTCCTCCCAGGAAAGCTTGATTAGGTTTTTTAATGGACTGTACCTCCCTGCCGTAGCATAGACATTTGAAGACGTAGTAGAAAGACGCCTAGATATGATCCACAGAACAAACCCACGACCCGCACAGACGGCGTTTCCCACAAACCTACGTGTCGTTTGCGAAGGTGTACATGAGGAGCCGCTCCTCTATGAACTTCTTCCAGTGCGGTTTCTCCAGCTGCAGGTCCCGGTAGTTGTCGTTGGACACGATGATCCCGTCAGACTTGTAGGCCAGCTTGACGATGAAGCGGTCGTCATAGCACACCACTCTCTTCCCGTTGACGCAGCGGGAGGGGGTGTACACCAGGATTTTCCTCCTCTCCAGCTCGTGGAGGACGTGCTGGTCTGAAAGCACACATGGCACAGGCTTCACATACAGCCACACTCACCGCTGGCTTGTCTGCCGTCCGGACGGTGGAAGATTTGACACACACAGACAGAGACGAGAGCATTTGACTGCTTAATGCATTGAGATGGTTTGCCTTTTGAGTTAGAAGATCGTGAATTATTTTGTATTACTGAATGTTTTGTACATAACATGTCTCACGAGGTACGTATATTTGCTCTGAAGACAATTCTTCCCCTTGGTAGTTAAACTTTTTTAAGCTTTTGGCACTCCCTACATTTTCTTCAGAACGGGTGTTTCCTCCTCTGAACCTGGAGAGCCTCAAATCAATCAGAGTATCAAATCAATTCAAAGTTGATTTATCAAACGCACAACAGTTCAGCGTGCGGCAGTAATTGCTGGCAATGAAATGTCTTTTCTGTGAGCTCACCGGGGGGAGATAAAAATAAAAATCACAAAGTTAAAAGTTACATAATAGCGCAATAACAATTGAATAAAATAAAATACAACTCAATATAAATAGAACTACTATGTGTCCAGGGTGTCTGCAATACATTAGGTCCAAATAGTGCAGCATGCCAAATACAATGAAAACTGTATGTCCATGTAACCTGACCATTTAACAATGGCCCTTAGGGTTGTTGCTGAAGATGACTACAGCATGGCTGTTTAGCAGTCTTATTGCCTGGAGGTAGAAGCTGTTCCGTAGTCTGTTGGACTTTGACTGAATGCGTGGATACCGTTTACCAGACGGTAGGAGGGAAAACAGTTTGTGACTGGGATGACTGGGAATGGACCTGGCCTTCTTCAGACATCTAGTGGAGTAGATATCCTGGATGTTTGGTAGCTCACAGCCGGTAATGAGCTGCGCTGACTTCACCACCCTCTGCAGTACTTTGCAATCCCGGGAGGAGCAGTTCCCATACCAGGCAGTGATGCAGCCAGTCAGGATGCTCTCAATGGTGCACCTGTAGAAGTTGGCCTGGATATGTGATGGCATGCCAAACCTCTTTAGCCTACCGAGAAAGAAAAGGCGCTGCCGTGCTGGCCTGACCACAGTGTTGATGTGGTGGGTCCAGGTTAAGTCCTCTGAGATGTTAACTCCCAGGAACTTAAAACTGCTGACCCTCTCCACTGCAGTCCCATTGATGTGGATAGGTGTGTGATCTCCTCCCTAGTGTTTTGTATAAACCATAATCATCTCCTTAGTCTTACTGATGTTCAGAGAGAGGTTGTTCTTCTGGCACCATGCTGCCAGGGTTTCAACCTCCTCCCTGTACGCAGGCTCTTCACCATCTGTGATCAGGCCAATGACAGTTGTATCATCCGCAAACTTAATGATGGAGTTTGAGTTATGCCTGGCGACACAATCATGTGTAAATAAGCAGTAGAGGACAGGGCTAAGCACACAGCCTTGGGGGGCTCCAGTGTTTAGTGTCAGTAGAGGATATGTTGGTGCCCACCCTCACCACCTGCGGACGTTCTGTCAAGAAGTCCAGGATCCAGTTACAGAGGGAGGTGTTCAGTTCCAGGTCCTGGAGCTTGATGACAAGCTTTGAGGGCACTATGGTATTGAATGCTGAGCTGTAATCAACAAAAGGCCATGGCGACAGCATCCTCTGTTGAGTCTTCCAGGTCACCTGTTTCTAAAGTGCTGAAACGCCTGCAGGGTGCTGATGAATGAACTAACCATTCTGTTTATTTACGGGTCGCTGAGGGCTGACCAGTACATCTTGGTCCCACCTTTTCTCTAGCTACTGAATTTAACAAACCAACGACGTCATTCATCACAAATTCCAGCTCATGAGAAAGGGGTGATGTAAGGGTGACCTACAAAACCTGCTGAATCGGGGCTCTCCAGGAGCAGAGCTGGGCCTGCTTGAAATGCTGTACTTCTGTTCATATCATTCATCTTGTAGCCCTGTGCTTAATGAAATGAGAAAAAAGGCAGTCTCAAACAAAGCAGTACAGTCCGCGTCTACTTCTAACTCATTGATGGCATACAGTAGTTCTCACTTTTGAAGCTTCACAAAAAAAAAAAGAAACTGCAAACCACATCATCCAGCCCGCCTGACACACGAGCTGCCACGTTTCCTTTAGCTCTTGGAAGTTTTTAGATTTGAAACGTAGGCTTTGAAGCAGTGAAAAGACAGAGCCGTCGCCCCAGACATCTGTGGACTCTACTTACGTGTAATGGGAGCTTCCGGCTTGGGCTGCTCCTTCCTCCACAAGGGCACAAACACCGTGATGTCATGATGGCCCCTGTCCCAGAACCACTGCACAGCCAGCTGGATCCCGCGACAGGAGAACACTTGCTTGTCGCCATGGCTGCAACAACACCAGCAGGTCAGAGCTCCTACTGTGGACAGTCGGTTTACAGGTGCGACTGTGATGCGTTTAAGGGCACCTTCATGCAGAAAGAATGCTGCATCTCCTCCAACGCTTAAGTTACAGTTTTGAGACAGTAAACCACTGACTTAATTCACACAGCATTTCACAAGAGGCACTGAGCCAGTCTGCTACTGGGAAAGCAAGTGCAGAGGCCCAGCCTACTGTACGAACACACACCATGAGCACTGCACGTTCTGTACTTCCTGGCCGGCTAAAGTTCCTGCTTCTCCTTTGACACTAGAACCACACGTTTACACCAGCTTCTTTTCAAGATATCTCACACTCGAGTTCTGGAGCTCATTTGCCTACAGCTGGTAACCCGAGGAAGGTAATTTCCCTTCTTCTCACTGAGCCCTGAACAGGAAGTCTCATGTTATTTTGCATGTAGCAAAAAAGAATAATTGCTTCACTGTTTTATTTTTTTTGTGACACAAAGGAAAATTAAAATAATGGCAGCAAAAGATTAGTGGCGAATTTAACAGGACATTACATTATAAGGCCTCTGTGTCTAAAATTCTTTAAAAACATACAGCACGTTTAATACCCCACCATGTGCAAAACGGACAAGACATCTGTTGCATTGTATCATATAAACTTAATATGTTACATCCATACCATTTATATGCTATTTTGATGCTTATTATAGTAATTAGTGTATCTAATATCATCCTGTTTTAATGCTTGTCAAAATGTGAGGCAATACATTATCGGCTCATTATGAACAAAAATGGTAGAAATCAGATGAATACTTAGTACACAACTAGTAAGGAGGCTAAAATATATAATTTAAGATGAATAATTAGTACACAACTAGTAAGGAGGCTAAAATATATAATTTAAGATGAATAGTTAGTACACAACTAGTAAGGAGGATAAAATATATCATTTAAGCTTCAAATGGCAGTTGAAATATTCAAACCAACGGCGTTAATCAACACTAGTGACCACTTAGGCTCTGGCTTATGCTGTCCATGATGCATTGTGCAGTGTTGTTCAGAATACGTCTGAAACAGAACAACTATTTAAATAAATCGACCACGTTACTGTAAGACCTGTGCTGATCAAAAACGTCACTCTCTCGGTTTCAATGACATCAGCTATTTGAATGTTCCATCGCGCCCCTTTTGGTCTTCCAGCTTGCAGAAGTTATTTTGATCTGCACCACTTTGTGCTTCTCAGCAGTTCAGATGTTTTTCGACCACATGATTGAGATCTACTCTCACAAGCCCTCTTGTACAAAACAATCATGAATTTCTTCTAAAAGGTGGCAATTATCTGAAGCCGGGAGCATGCGGGTTTCGCTTTTGCATGAACATTTTGTGTCAGGTTTGGCATTTGAAAGCCCTTCTTACTTGTCTTGTCGAGAACTGTGCCGTCCTCCGTTTTCATAGACAGAGCAAGGTTTAAGAATTCAGCACTAAAACAGACTGCCACTGCCTCTTTCCCCATAACTTCTTCATGATCAGATAATTACAGCATCTAAATATGTTCCCTTCAGAAGTGTTTTCTGTCAATTTTTACACGGAAATCAACTTCCAAGCTTCAGACCAACACAGTGTTAACTGACCCAGTGTTAACGCTGGTGACAGCTGAAGATACTTCATGTCACTCTGCTCATGTGCTATATTACTGTTCCAACATGCAGACATACTCTCAAACTATCAAATGCTTCAGTGTAAATCTGCTCCACTGACTGCTTTTTGGGGGAGTTAAACTGCAACAGTCACAGTTCCGTTTCTGCATGGAGCATTTCCAGGCACAATTATTCACATGGTGGAGGGCGACATTTAGAACGAGCGAAACTTTAGATCTTTGCCTTTTAAAGCTGTTCAGCTAAATGAATCTGAATGAATCTAGAGAATCGAATGAAACAACAGTCAGATGGCACCTCCACCACTCCACGTGGTTTCGTCTTAGTACTGCACTTATCGACTTGGCATCTGAGGCTCATTTGAGGCGGTCAGAGCTGTAAGGCTTGTGCCCTGCGGTGGGGACACTCTGTGGCTGGAGCCCTTGACTTTGCGGCAGCAGCTCTTACAAAAAACACGGGGATCTTCTCCACTCTGAGCCCCTACCCTTAAAAAAGCGCAGCCGTGCCAGTGTGCTCACCTAACCTGAGGAGCTGAACCAGGTAGAACACTCTGAAGTAGCTGACTTACAAGGAGGCACATACCCACTGTCACCCTGGTGGATACCACTCTGGGAAACAGAAGTGTGAAATCTGAACAAATCAGAGCCATTATATGAAAACAGGTCACCAGGAAACAAGGCTGCATTCATATGTTTTGTTTTTGTTGAAAAAACAGGCTACTTTCCTGTGCCAGGCTGTAGCTGACATACTGTAAGACTTCAGATTTTACTTTATTTTATTTGCATTTAAGAAAATCCGCAGCTTTGACTTTCTTGCGCTTCAGCGAGCATGCACCCCCGGCACCCAGACCTCCGCTTGTGCTTTTCTATTGCGCTGTAAAAGACACCTCGGCCCAAGCGGCAGGCAGATCGGGAACAAAACTCTACACTGCTGCTTCTAAAATACCCTTAATGATCCAGTATCCACAAAGGACTATTGTAGAGCCCCTGAGTGCGTTTCAAGCAGTTGATCACGCGAACACAGAAAGCTGTTGTATCTGTCCTACTCCAGTCTTCTTCCCTGTCAAGCACACCACCCGAAGAGGTCTCTGTGTTTGACTCCCTGCGTCCAGACCTCCGGGGTATAGTGGGAAAGTTTTAGCATAAACAAATTCAGTTACACTACACAAAAAAAACCTACGTTCGAGGTGTAAACCAGCAGATCCTGTGTGGCAACCTCTGCCAGGCAGGGCTGCTCTAGTCTGCCAGAGCAGCCCCCGGGGGGCCTGGCCCGTGACAGAGACTCACCTCATGGCTACGTTGCTGCCATCGATGACTACGGGTCTCAGGCCGCTGCCGGGCTCTGGGAGCTCCTCCTCCGCCAGCTCTGCGGGGCTGCAGCCCCGGGGTACGAGCTGCGGGCTGGGGCTCCTGGGCGGCGCACCGGCTGGCTGGGCGCTGCTGCCGGTCTTCAGCAGCTCCTCCAAGATGTCATTCGTCAGGGCGTCCCAGTGCAGGCTCTCCAGAACCCGCACGATGTCCCTGCGGGAGTACCCCAGCTTGAGGAAGCGCTCGATGGTCCTCTGGTGTCTGTCCATGCTCTCTTGGTCTCGGGGCTCCTCTCTGGTGTCTGCCGCCGGGGAACCCTCCCTCCTGCCCTTTTTATTGCATCTGGTTTCAGAGTTTCCACAGCAACAGGCCCAGCTCTGGAAAAACTGACAACCGACGAGCGAGCAGGCAGCGAAGCATTCTCTGACACACGCTGTAAACACAGGAAGTCGAAGATCAAGTCAGAGGGGTTTTTAGCCACTTTAATTGTGGTTTGCAGCTTTGATAGAATCTTCTTGCTCTGCAGCTGCAGCATCACTCTCACGTCATGTCTCTGAAAAGCCCCTAAGAGTGATCTCCTCAGCAGCAGGTCACGAGGGGAAAAGAGGCATCACTTTAAAAGGATTCAAATCACCTTCAAACTTTCTCTAGCTTAACCTGTGACACAATAACAGGATGCGGGCCATTATTTCAGAATGATAAAAGGTCATGTAAATTTGAAGCTGGAGAATATTTTTTTTCCAGTTTCCCAAGTAACAAGCCCATTCAGGTTTTTAAAAGCCCAACAGGATTGAAAGCCTGTAGCTACGCTGGCCTGACCTCAGCAGCTAGAATTGGGGACCCCTGTTTTTACTGCACTTCGAGAGATGTTGTTTTTACAGTGTGACTTCTTCTCCTGCTCAGAATGGCTACTGGACAGGCTCGGGGAAAGGATGATATTTTTCCCAGAAAGATGTATATAAGCACCCCCTGACATAATTTACATTCAGAAACATTCTGCAATATTTAGAAATGCCAACAAAAATCTTTTAACATGAATTTATATATATATAGCATGTGTGTGACATGCTCTTCCCAAAAGGAGGTGTTTTGGGGTCATTGTCCTTGATTAAAAAAAGTTAAAAAGAACAAATTTTTAACTTTAACTGTTTTTTCATTGTTCAAACTATTGATATGTGACAACTTAAATTTCTACACTAAAGAACTGTGACAACTGTGGAGTCTGGATATACAATAATTATTCTTATTAACACATCTGGCTAATATGTCTGTCCAGTATTAGAGAGATCACTTTATTGGCCTTATCTAATTTCTTGTATTAGGAATTTGTCTTTTCGCATACCCCAACTTGGGGTCAGAGCGCAGGGTCAGTTGTTCATACGGCGCCCCTGGAGCAGTTGGGGTGAAAGGCCTTGCTCAGGGGACCAACGGAATAGGATTCCTCTGTTGGCTGCAGGATACGAACCGGCAACCTTCCAGCCACAGGCCCAGATCCTAATAAATTACATTTGTACCCTTTTATACATCAAGGCATTTTACAGGAGCAAGCCGGGTGAAAGTCCTCAGCCTTCTGGTTATCTAGTCATGACCTAACATCTGGCCCATTTGGTAGTTAGTAGCTAATTGATTAGACATGTCATCCATCCAGTTCCTGAAAGAGCGCAGGGCATCAGCTTCGACTTTATATACTGTATAGCCTGTTTTATAATATGTGTAAAGACGTTCTTCCATGTGCCCTTTCTGTTCCCCTGCGTTAAACTGTCTATGCTGAAGAAGTCCACTGGATTGTCTTTGTCAGGGCCCTTGAGGATGTTCAGGTCTCCTCCTGTTTCAGGTCTCCTCGTGGCGCTCTCTGTTCAAGACCAAAGCCCAGTTCAAGGACATTTCTTTAAGCCTGGGAATGTACTGGGCTTCTTCTCTGGACTGTTTCCAAAGCAGCAATTTCTTTCATTGTAAAGTGACGATCAAACTCGACACAGTACTCTAAACGCTTGAGATTTTAACAACACCCTTCAATCTCTACACCTTTCAGTGCAACCTCCAAATATTTTGCCATTTGTTTTTTGCTTCCCCACATTGTCTAGAGGTTCGAATGTGTCAGCATAAACACCTACATCTTTTTTTAAGTGTAGCCCTTTCTAAAGCATTGTTTCCCATTTTTGAATCTATAGTTCGTGTTTGTAGTACCTGCATGCGACACCCTGTACTTGTCTATATCCTGTTATCATCGTCTGCCAGGTACATGAATGATGTCTTCTTTTTATGCTCAGTATATATTTCATATCCATAGCAATATATGGAATTTGAAGAAAGAAGCACAGGAAATGCAGTAAAAATTTGATCATTCATACAGTGACTTGCAAAACTTTTCAGGCCTTGTCTTTGGTCTCTTATTTTGTAAAATTACAAAATCATGCGCACACATTTTTTTTAACTTGAAGTTTTATTCAAGCCTAAATGTTCAAACTTATAGAGTTCTAGGGGTAAGATACTGTATGTCACAGTAAAAGTCAGCAAAAAACTTAAGGAAAACAAGAAAGAATGTTCATTGCACAAGTATTCAGACCCATGAACTCCTTAGCTGGTAGAATCACCCTTAACAAAAATGAAACATTACACAAGTCTTCTTGGGTAAGTCTTGTCTCTCCACCTACCTACCTAATCTTTCCACAGATTGCCAAAAGGATTCAACTCAGGGCTTTGACTGGGCCACTCATGGACAGTCACTTTCTTATCCTTAAGCCACTACAGTGTAGCTCTGACCTTGTGCTTCGGATCATTATCCCGCTGCAAACACGAGTTTTAAGTTTTGAGCCAACTGAAACAGATTTTCCTCCACTACTTGCCTGTACTGTTCTCTGTCCCTTGTCCCTTCAGTCCCAGCAAGGTTTCCAGTACCCGTTGAGGAGACGCATCTCCCTGCCACCACCTCGCTGGACTGGAAGGGACAGCGTTGACGAGGAGAACGTGTGGAACGACTTTCCTTGCGACAAGAAAACGTTCCAGTCTGGTCTCACAGTTGGTCCGCAACACCTTTTTCCACATCTGTGCGGAATCACTCAGGTGCTTTGTTGTGAACTCCTTGCTACCATGGAAATGGGTTTTCACTGCCTGCCATACGTGCCAGCTTTGAGGACCGGGGTACTGCTGATGGATGCACACTTACTCCTGTCTCTGCCGTTGAACTCTGTAGCTCTTCCAGAGTCGTTGGCCTCGCTGTGGCCCCCCTCACCCGTCCCCTCCTCGCCTGGCTGCTCGGTGTGGAGGGACAGCCTCGTCTAGGCAGTGTCTGGATGGTACGACACACCATCTCTTTCTTGATGATCGAGTAGACTGTGCTCACAGAGTTAGCGATACCCTGCTCCTGATCTGCTTTTCGATGACTTTATCCCTGGCCTGCTTTGAAAGCTCCTTAGTCTGTGTGCTTGAGTCCTTGTTTGAAATTCGCTACATAACCCAAGAAATCTCACAGAAACAGGTGGTTTTAATCAGAAATCAGCTATTCATTATTATTGCACACAGGCAGGGACCACCCAACTAATCATGAGGCTTGTTTAGGTATTTTTGTGCATCCAAATTAATATAGGTTTGCCACAGCAAAGGGTCTGGAAGACCTGTGCTATCATGACTTCTTTTGTTTTTCCTTTGAACATGTGGCGGTGTATATAACAAATATGAATAGCTACATCGATGTGTCATGACAGCACGATTTGAAACAACCAAATGTTAAAAATATACAAAGGCCTGAGTACTTCTGCAAGGCACTGTATTTAAAAACACTTATAGCAGCAAGACATAAGCACAAAGTGGTCTCAGGGTAGGACTTAATTTCAGTAAGAGGCATGATGGAACCATGCAGTAACTCTGGAATGTTTTTGAAACCTTTCAGTTTCTCAAACAACTGTGTCCGTGACAGGCCGACTGTTCTAATTTTTAATATCTTCCAAGTTGGATGAATCTTTCATCATTTCAAAATATGATTCTCTTTCAAAGCAACAGAGCCTGTTTACCATATTGAGTTATGTAGCTGCTTCAAGTAATTGAAGCAGCTGAGTGCTGCATTCTACACATTACTTTTCTTACCACCAAATAAAGTAGAAGCCAGTAGTCTGTGGGCATTCAAAAGTATGTTTAACACACACAGCCCCTGTGGAATGAGAAAAAATGCAACAGTTCCACAAAGAACATACTACTAAAATAATGCAACCTTTTTTAAAGACGTAAAGCACATACGATATTGATGCTGTGACCAACAAAACTCTATATACAGTATTTTAAACTAAAACAAAACCATGCAGACATTTTACAGCACAAACATGGAACAAAACCAGTTTTGCATAGCTCTTCTCCTTTTCGTTAGCCTGATAAACACTGCGCGCTCATCAAATTGTTTTAAGTATGTAATCGAATTGAAAATCCTTCACAATTTTGCACCACATCCTGTGTCTGTAACCAAGGCTTTTGGTTAAGGTAATTTTTTTAAATCCCTCTTTGTCTGAAAGATCTTTCTACTTCTGCATTATTATCAGGCTCGTGTTAACGGAGGAGGAATATCTCCCCCAGCAAATGAAAATACACAGCGAGTACTCCCACACCTGACGTCGTCACAGACTATCACTGGCACTACTGATTTGTGCTGATAGGTTCAGAACTACTTCACAAAGTTGCAGACAAATGTTTCACGACTCATAAGCTTGAGCAAAAAAATGATGAGAGAGGGACTGAAAGCACACAGTCTCTCAAAAACAACTTCAGTTCCCTTCATTCTGAGTTCACACCAAGAATGAAATACATTAGAACAGAAATGTAGGTGAATTTGATTCTTCTTCTTGGCAAAAGAGTTTACTTAATGAATGTATTTTTACTTACAGTGTAGAAAATCCTGGAAGCGCAACTTGCTCAGCTGGGTGCCTTGTCCTCTTTGTTTGCTGTGAACACTTCAGCTCTTTTTTCACCTAGTCACATAAGGAAGTCAGCACAGTATTTATTCAGGCCATGGAATTGAGGAAGCAAGCAGTGCATATTGTAGTTAATTTCACTTCCTTAAATCCCTGCTATTACTAGTCTGCCTGGCCTCCTGTGACACTCTGGGCAGCACTGACTTCCTGGACTGGTGCACACGAGCAGCTGGGAGGTGCTGAGTGATAAGGTAAAAGTGATGAGCCCATCTGAAGAGCTAGGGATCACAAAATATTTTCTTCATGCTGGCGGAAGTTCCACACCATAAACATTCAGCCACAGGCTCAAACATATTCTGAATCAACCAAAATGCTTGTGGCAATATTTGGATTAGTCAGAAAAAAAACCCACTAACTACATCTCCTGGAATCATCATAGATTCATTAATTGATCTTAATCACAAAATGTAAAACATACAGGCTGCAACTCTGTAGTTTCTAGTGGTCTTTTCTTTCTTTTTTTTAAAAAAAAAGATCCTTTCTCAAGTATCTTCACGTCTCACGTTGCATTACTGCTTCAAATAGAAACCTTGTCACCTTGCAACACGGCCCATGAGCAGAGTTGAAGTACAATAGGTTGCCTCTGGCCTGCTTTACAAGCACAGGCATTCAGAAACCTTACCTGCATCAGGTGGGGTTTCCTAACACATTTCACACCTAAAGCTGCAAGAAAGGGCCGTGTGTGTCCTGCAAAGCACAGTCATTCACCTGGTTCCGGGGCAAGCTGGATATTCCGAGATGATGTCACCCCCTTTTCCAGTCAGGTCAGGTACAAGTACAACGAGGCGCTTACTTGGGTGTTGCCTCACACGCAGTGAGACAACGATGTCAAAGAAAAATGACCTCACAATTCCTGGAGACCAGAACAGGGTGGCAGCTATAGATTTAAGCAGCATTCAGATATACAATTGAAGTGGTGGCAGTATTTTGAGGTCTGTACAAAAACGGAGGGGTGTCAGTGTAGCGGAGCTCGTCTGGGCACGGTGACGTCATCGCCCTCCCTGCGCGTAGCAGGGACCTCCTGGGCCGGGGGGAGGTCTCCTTTAGCTCGCTCGGCTGGCTCCCTGTTAAGTTATGCCGGAGACCCGGGTTCGCGCCCAGGTGCTGCAGGGTGGAGCAGCGAGGGCACACATCAGCAAGGGAGGATTTAAGAGGTGGAGTTTAGGAATCTTGTGGCTATGGGAAAGAAGCTTTCTTTGAACTGAGAGGTCCAGGCTTTTTTGCTCCTGAATCTTCTGTCAGAAAGAAGAGCATTCCCAGGGCGATGATGGACTTTTCTCTATTCTTCCTTCTGGCATGTTCTGGATGAAGCATTTAAGGTAACAGGTTTGACACCCTGTAACTACAGGGCTCTGAGACAAAAAAAAGGTGTATTACAGGTGCTCCCAAACTAGAAGAAATGAACCTGTGACTTGAAACACTGAGGATTTCCTGAAAGGTTTCGTACTTGATCAGAATTGCAATACAGTAGTTCAGCTGTGGTTCTGGAGGGCCTGGGCCTCTGCAGGTCTTCCATGTCTCTATAAAACAGCCGCACCTGAAGAGATAAACTGGTCTAATGAAGCCCATGGTAAGCCTATTAAGTTGGGACGGAAACTCAGATTCCACACATCTACTGTATCATCCATCAATAAATCGCCTGACTTTTTCTTCCCCCAGTGTTCTCTACTTCAAATCAGATGTAAGAAATCGTCATCAGCGTTACCTGTTGCTATGGAGGATTGTGTGGAAATGAGGCCCAAGCAGTAATTAATATAAGACAACTGGCAGTCTGGTTGTGAAAGAACTGAGATATTACAAAAATAAACAGATTCAAAACACATTTCATGCTTCAATGAAAAATGTATGTAAAAAATCAATTAAGTTATATTGTAATGCTAACATGTCAATTAAGCTCCAGTATTAACTACATAAGGTTTACCTGTTAATTTATACAGAATATTAATTATTTCAGTTTTGTGGCATATTTTCTGTATCAGAGTTTCCAGAGGATTAGTGCAGAGCAGTCCTTGAGCATAATTGTATCTGACAGTAACAGTAAGGAAAGTAAAAAGTAACATCTTTTGTGAAATTTTCAAAGGAACAGTACAGTATTGAATATGTTTTATTTTAATGGGGCTTTTACCTAAGGGGATGTTTTGCCTCAGTGATAATGTTACTTAATTACTCAAATTAAACTAACCATTTCCTTCCTTAAACTTCTATCCTATGAAAGAGACGAAATGACTTCTTTACTTCGTGCTTTCAAGAATTGCACAATGCTAGCACGTGGCTTGTGCTATACCATTGAGGTACAGGCTATATGAAGCTAGCTTATCTAACCTGCTTAGCTTTGCTTACTGTTGCATTTGTGACTTTCAGTAAGGAAAGTCATGTATCCAATAAGGATATAATAAGGATGTGGTTTGTACTGTATAGAATGAGTGGTTGGTCTTTGATACGCTGGTTTCAAGTTCAAATTCAAGTTTATTGTCATTATACTCATATACAGGTATATGGTATAACGAAATGCTATTTAGCTGGCTCTCAGACGATACGCAGTACAAAAAAAACAACAATACAATTGTATAATAAAAGAAAGGCAGTGTGCAAAACAACATCAGATGTGCAAAAACATGCATCAACAGAATGAAATAAAGGATAGAAAATTATGGGGAGTGAGCTTCTTGACATGTAAGTCAAAAAGTTTGCAGTATAGTACAGACAGTAGCATTACTGCCTTGCTGCCCGGTTTGCTCGGAAGCTGAGCATGTCTGGGCCTGGTCAGTACTGGGCTGGGAGATGTCCAAGGAAAACCAGGTAGCTACTCTACAGTACGTGGTGGTGGGAGAAGAGTGGGTGAATTCTCAATCTAATGCTCCAGTATTGGATTATCTGGGACCCGGCTATCCTTCAAGTCAGAGGCTACACCTCGTCCCCAGCTATGCGGCTGTGAAAGATCCTATTTGACTTTTCAGAAGGGGTGAGGGTGTTTATCCAGTTACCAGCTCTGTCCTGCTCAGCTCTGACAGACTGTGTGACTAACAGTTCTTGCTGTAAGCGGAGGAGCAGTCTCAGAAATCAAACAGTAACTGCACAGGAAACCAGAATGAAGTGCAAAACGAGCGGTCGTTTATTTAAGGACATATTCACAAAAGTAAGAGAAGACAAACAATGCAAAGGAGCCCAAAACTAAAGCTATAAGGGCCTTTAAGAAAATTTAGGTTTCGGAAGAGTACTCCTACAAGTATAGATTCAATTTATGATTGGGTCCTAACAAAAACCGCCTACCAGATCAAATACTCTGAGCTCTGCCCATGGCTTACCCTGATGGACAGGTACGATTCATAAGAAAGAGAGATGAGTCAGGGTCTGCACCACA